GGGTGAGAATCCTGATCCTATGTCACACAATGGACCCAGCAAGGCCAGAACAGATCTTTCAGATGAGTTTTCTAGAGACCACAAAGCCTCCAGGGCCTCTGGGCCACATTTCTGGCCTTAGCCTAGCCAAGGTATCTGTCAGGCAACGTTAGGCAAAAGCACGTGAAGCTACAACCTTGGAGATAGTCATCAGCCTGCCTGTGGAAGAGGCTTCCCTGGGCTGGGCTGATGCAAGTGTCAGGGGTAGAATCACTATGTTCCAGGGGGTTAGACACTACGAGGGCCCCTGGGGAAGGGAGGAAGTGGGTTTCTGTGATTTTACCAAAGCTGTTCCTGTAGATTGAGACTCAAAGGAGATATCAGGGAGGCACAGGTTCATCTTCCTGCTAAAATGACATCACAGAGGTGACAGGTCCCTGCAGTGGGGTAGCTGGGTGGTCCCTTGCTAATCACATTAGCTTTATAGGAATGGAATTTTTTTTTACGTTGGCTCTGGTTCCTTGGGCAGCAGCAGGTATCAGGTTGCACATAAAGGGTCTACAGGGAGTTGTCTGACCCACATCTGCCTCCTTCGAGCATACTTTTACTCCCTTCAAGCACTGGGCCTGCTCTCTTGGGCCCAGTGCCCTGCCTCAGGGGTATTCCATTCCTCTGACCATCAGAGGCCTGGATCTTCCCAACTAACTCCTGACACTAGGCAAAACTCCTCAAAGTCACCCCAGAAAATAAACTCAAGCAACTCAACCCTACTGTCCCTCCCACTTCTGACCCCATCTTTGTCAGGGTCTGACCTATCTCACACAGAGGCCACGTTCCCGCTCTTCACACCAAATCTGTGACCCCAACACATCGGACCTACCCCACCAGACTGATGGGACTCTCACAGGCAGCTTTGTCCTAAGGTCTCTGTCTAGGGGGTGGTATGACCTCTAGTAAGGGGACCCTCCCTGTGTAAGTCCCATTAGGCATGTCCTGTCCACCGCCACCCGGTGTGTCTCTGTCTGGAAAGGTCCTCCTCTGATTCTCTGGCTCTGCTACCTGTCCCCATGCTTTTCCTCTTCCAAACATCAACTCGAGGGCTACAGAGATGGCTCCACGGTTAGGAGCACCTGTTCTTGCAGAGGACCTGGGTTCAGTTTTCCACAACCAAATGGCGTTTTACAGCTATCTGTAATTCCAGTTCCAGGGGCACCAACACCCTCTTCTGGCTTCTGCAGGTACTGGGCAGGCACGTGGCATGCATACATACTTGCAGGCAAAGCGCCATACACACAGCGCAAATTTAAAAAGTGAGAACAAATTTTCAAAGGGACAAATCTGAAGAACCTTCTGCTGTCTTCCCCACCCTTGCTCAGTCCTCTGCCCAGCACCACACTGCAGCTGCTTCCAGAAACTTCAAGACCTTCTCATTATAATCCCAATAAGTCACGTTCTCTTCATCCTGCTGGCCCCTCCAGCCATGCCGCATCATCTCCTATGCCAGTCCCTTTCTGTGCTATGGAGGGGACACTTAGTCTCTGGGGTCAGACTGATCTATTCACATTCCATCTTGAGCCCAGTCTCTCTAAACCTCAGTTTCCTCATCTGTAAAATGGAGGTAATGATAGCACTGCTTGATAGGCCTATTGGGAAGATTGAAGGAATTAATCACAAGGACTTGGCTACTCGAACTTCCTAAGTGCCACTCAATAGACTTAGCTGTGACAGCCCCAAGCACCATCTAGATCTCTCCATCCCCATTAGAACCAAGTGCAGCCTCTCCACCCTTCAGGTTCGGAGGATCCCCCACTCCCTTCTTGGGCTGCTTCCCAATGTTTCAGCCATCTCAAACTAGACAAAGCTTCCTGGGACATTTTGTTGCGTCTTGATGGCAAACAACATGTCAATGCCACTAGCACAAACCACCATTCCCTTTTAATAAACTTTATAAGTATTTTTATTGGTTAAAAGTGTTGCTGTTAGTATTTGAGATAGCTTCTTGTCACATTGCCTCAATGGCTTCAAACTCCAATGTTCAGATGATCCTCTTGCCTCTGCCTCTGAGCAGCTGGGACTACAGGTATGCTGCGATATACAGCCTAGTATCATGTTTCCAACAAGAAAAACCCTACCAATGCCAATGTTCCTTCCTTTCCCTTTTTACTTTTAAAAAGAGATTACTTGTGTGTGTGGTATAAGATATGTACATGTATGCATGTATATATATATAGATAGATATATACATGTATGCATGTATATATATCATGCATGTGTGTCCGTGTGTGGCATGCATGTACACATGTGTGGTATATATGCATATGTGTGTACATGCATATATGTGCACCTGTGTGAATACATATGTGTGCCTGTGAAACTGTGTACGTGTGTGTGTAGGGGGTACATGCGCCACTGCACACACGTGGGGCCAGTGGAGGATCTCTGGTGCCCTGCTCCATCACTCTCTACCCTAAGAGAGTTTCTCCCACTATACCTGGGGCTAGGCTGGCAGTCAGCAAGCCCTGGAATCCTCCTGTCTCTGGCTTACAGTGCTCAGATTGCAGGCACACATGGCTATGCCTGACTTTTTTACGTGGGTGATGGCGGTCCAAGCTCTCTTACCTGCCAGCCATCCTCCAGGCCCCTGACATTTTTTCTAAACACTAGTGCATATTCAGTGCACAGAATGGGAGGTTTCATCATGGGGTTTTCACAAACTTGGATCACAAACCTTGCTCGTACTCTACTTCTGTCATCGCTACACTTCCAATAGTGATGCTGGCAGCTGCTTCATCGCTGCGACACAAAACCGGGAGTTTTAAGGAGGCAAAGAACATATATAAGAATGTTTTGTCGCCGGGTGGTGGTGGCACACACCTTTAATCCCAGCACTTGGGAGGCAGAGGCAGGCGGATCTCTGTGAGTTCGAGGCCGGGCTGGACCGCCAGCCTCCAAAACAATACAGAGAAACCCTGTCTCATCAAACAAACAAACAAACAAACAAACAAAAAGAATGTTTTGTCACCACAGCATTAAAACTCATCCTTTTGGAGCCAGGCATGGTGGTGGCACACACCTTTAATGCCGCAGTCAGCAGGTGAGGCAGGCTATTCTTTGTGAGGTCAAGGCCAGCTTGGTCTACAGAGTGAGTTCCAGGACAGCCAGGGCTACATAAAGAAATCCTGTCTTGGGGAAAACAAAATAAAACAAATTGTTGTTTTGAATTTTCTCAAAACATCTTACTTACATAAAAATAGAGACTTTCCTCAGTGAGGAGTCACACTGTACGCTGTCTGGTCTCCAACATGCTTATACCAAAAGCAACAGCAAACGGTAGCAGAGAGCGCAGGAAACAAGCCCCAGTCCCTGGGGCCCTTGCCTGAGCTAAAGCCACTGGTAGATTTAAATCAGTGAGGGTCTTATCAAAGAGAAAATCTTTGGTTCTGAAAGCTGAGTGTGCAGTGCTGACATTGCAGGCCTGAGGACCACTGAGAGAGAACAGTGGTCTCTTGAGGCTGGGGTCTGTTTTATTTATGGTGCCTGTACACAGCAATCGATTAACACAAATTATTTCATTGGGTGATGATGCCTCCTGGGCACCCAGACTGGTCCCTGCATGCTGCCTAGTGAGATTCCCCTTAGTTACAGAGCATGCTCTGATCTGCAATCAGGAGTCAAGTCTCCTAGCCCAAGGTCTACACGGCTGGGCTGGGAGTACACAGCCCGTAAACACTCTTCCCTTCAAAGTCTTTACCTCCTTTACCGCTACACCCTTATCTTTTACCATATTTGCTCCTGCTCTGAGGGCAGAAGCACTCGGTTTCCCCTGCCTCAGCACAATGCGCTAGTCTTCATCTCCCCATCACATACCACATCCCAACCCAAGCCCTGCTTTCTCTACCTGCTTCCCTGCAGCCCAACCCAGTCATTGTGAAGGAACATTTTCCTAGCCCCATCACACACACATTTAACACAACTCCAACTGCCCCCCATGGGCAAGGGAACCACCTCATCCTTCAGGGACTGTCCCCTGACTCTCTACCTTCCTGGCTTTCCCACTTTCTCTCTAGATGTGGTTTCTCAGGTCCTTTGTGGACTCCCCCATAACTGTCCCTGCTCCGTTCCCGCCTCTGCAGGCCAGCAACCCCTGCATCCACGCGCCAGGGCAGACTGGGATGTAAACCTCCCCACATAGCGTTCCTTCAGGGAGTTGCCCTTCTCCATCCACTTGCCCTCCCCACCCAGACTTGTCAATACTACCTGCCAACCCTTCCAGTACAATGCTTCCTCCAACTCCCAGTGACACTGTTCTCAAGGGCCACCTTTGTCCTGAAGTCCCCAAGCCTAATTATCTGTGGTATCAGAAGGGTGGCCCAGAACTTGCAGCCATATCTCTATCAAAGGTTTTTGTCCTCTAGATGTGGGTTCAGAGGCACATTGTCCTATTGCACTGTACTGGCATTAGGTCAATGAAAGAGTGGGCTGAACTCCATCTACCACCTGCCAGGAATAAGGGTCAAGGGGAAAGCTGCCAAAAGGCATACCTAGCTCTGGCTGCCACCTGCCAGAGGACTAGCCCACACACAGATGCCTGACTGCGTGTCAGAAGGCCCACCAATCTCGAGTCTGCTACCGTGACTCTGGTGGTCACCTCCACCAGGTGGGGTGTACAGTGAGGACCCGGTTTGTACAGGGGATGGTAGGATGAGGTCCCACTGCACAGAAGCCTGAGCTGGCTCTGGGCCAGGCTGCTCCCGCCACTCTTTCCCACTCTGTCCGTTCTCTATGACAAAGGAAGAAGATGGCCTTTGAACAAGCAGTCTTGCTTCCCATGTCGATGATGTCGAGTACTAGAAAGTGATGAATAAGTCTGTGGTTTGCTATGGAGGTTCCATGTCAGATAAAGCTCCTTCCGATATACCTCCTCCCCCCCCACCCTGCCTGCCCTACCCGCCCCTACGAGTTTAAGCACATATAAGGCGGAGGCCACCATGGCTTCATCAGAACCCTCGAAAGACCAGAACGAGACACGATGGCTCTTGCTAGCTCTACCACAAGCGTCCTCTCTGTGCTGCTCCTGCATCTGATGCTGTTCCACCAGGGACGCCAGAGTCCAGTGATGTCTCCAGTGATGTCCTCAGATACCAGCCGTTCGACCTCAGATGAAGCCTACTCCTTGAATTGCAGCCTCATGGCCATGGAGATTGTGAAGAAGCTCCCGGTGAGTAGATTGCTGAGGTTGGCCTGGTGCAGGCTGGCTCCAACAGGCACCTCAAGCCAACAAGCTTCATGGTTCTTTCTCCCTGTGTCCCCACAGGAAATCAACTTCACTGACCTTGATGCCAGAGCAATACTGAGGGTAAGAGCTTGTCCCTGCTTTGGGGGAATACTTGGGTCCCATCTATCTCCTACCTGGGTGACTTCAGTCATACCATTCCACCTTGCCTCGTTTGCTTGAATCTAACATGAAGTCCTTTCCAGGCTTGCTAGATATCTACTTGTCCCCTCCCTGGGGGCATGCTGGGGTCCATAAGGATCTTCTTTCAGGTGTCTAGAAAGATTTATTTGGGTTGAAGCTTTAACCTTGGTATCTGGCAACTTGGGCATACGTATTTCCCCTGGTCAGCTATCTGCCCTTTTCAGAGCTGTCTGGAGAGGTGTGTTTCCTCCAAGTGTGGATAGGTCTGCCCAGACCTTCACACAGCCCCCAACAGCCAGGGCTTAGGGCTTGGTGCTTGGGAGAGGTGGCCTTTGCCTGGGACATGTACTTGCTTTTAGGCCCAGGGTAAAGAAGAGACCAGGAATGAGGCTGTCCAAAGAAGCCTCTAACAGAAGACTCACCTCCCCAGATCTTACCCCCCTCAGCTGTCACCTCCTCAGCCCTTATACTCCCCAGCTCTCATTCGCCCCGCCCATTCTTACCTCCCAGCTCTCACCCACTCCCAGCTCTCATCTCCCCAGCGATCACGCCTCCAGCTCCCCCTAGCTCTCACCTCCCCAGAGCTTACACAGAGGATTCTTTGCCTTCTCAGAATATCACCTTGCAGAGGGTAAACCTGTGTGAATTCCTGAAAATGAGAAGGAAATTGGAAGAGGAGAAATTGGAAGTGGGAGACATCAAGTCCAATCTTGAGGTGTGTGAAACTGCTGAGGGCTTAGGGGATCCCTGCCTTCACTGCCCCCAACATTTAGTGGGGAGGGAAGCAGGGCCTGTTCCTTTTCCCAGGGATCTGACCGTGCCTTGGTGTCTCCTCACAGAAACTTGCCGATTGCCTGCCCCCCGCTGTGAGCACTTCCAGGGTAAGCTGTCCCCCCTCCCCATGTCCTGCAGGTGGTGCCTTTCCCCAAACCAGGCTTACAGCTTGCCATGGCCCTCAGCAGCCGTTATCTCTAACGCCATCTTCTCTGGTTCTTCACAGATGACAGGCATCTACCTAGAAAAGGATTTGGAAGATTTTCAGAGGAAACTGAGATTCTATGTGAGTCAACTGAGCAACCTGCTGCCAGAACCCAGACCACCTCACTCATCCTCTGACTCCGTCACTTCCCGCCCCGTGGCCATGGAGTGTGAAAACAGCTGAGTGACTGGAATCTGAATGCCCCTCATGCTCCATGCCCAGGAAGAGGATTTCACATTCCCCCATGGCAACAGATATGTGTTCCCATTTTATTCCACCAAGGCTATTTATTTATGTATTTATGTATTTATTTATTTATTACCTTCTGCAATGTGAAATATATCTGTTTTAGCTGAGGAGTTGTTCCTCCATGTTTTGAAAGAAAAAAATTCCAAGGGAGATTGAGGCATGTTCATTTGTTCCTCGTGTTTTAAACAGGTTTTTAAACATTCGTGGAAATAAATAATTTTGAACAAATGGGTTTTGTTTTGTCAAGTGTCTTAGTTTGGCTTCATCTCTGTGGCAGTCTTGTGGGTCATGATCTTTGGGTGAGGTAGAGGCTGTCCATCCCATCATCCTCCTGCCATTCCCAGCACAGAGGAGGGACCTCAATTCCAGCATCACAAGCAGCCACACAGCATGCAACGTGTACCAGATCTTGATCTGGGCATGTCACCTATACTATTTAGTAATTCTCGTCCTAGAGTGTGAAATCTCTCTTTTATGGGAATACTGAAGTCCAGTGTGGCAAAGCAATGGCCGAGTAAACGTAGCATTTACATAGTGCCCCACTCCAGAACTCTAGATCATTATGGTGAGGATTGAAATCACATGGAATGCCCCCTAGTGGTCATGATTAAAACTGCAGCAGTACCCGCAACTGCTCCCATAGTGGAAACCTAGTTCCAGTCTGAATTTCCACATGGCAGTGCCCTCTGAGGATGCCGGCTACGCAGACCCAGAAATCCCTCTCCTTCCAGAAGTTTCCATGCCTCCCTGGGCTTCCAGCTTCTCTTGGATGATTTAGTCTCCCTCCTTCTGTGCCTAACTCCAGACTGGCCCTGGTCTATTGAGCTAGGTTGAGCTTTAAAAGTGCGTTTTTGATCATTAACCCCAAATCTTTGAGGCCCTCGTGGGCTTGTTCGCAGTCTGCATTCTAAGGCCGTCAGGTGGGACCCTCCTTCACCTCTCGTGTTTCATGTTTAACAACCTCTTGAGAGTTCCAGCAAACGTGACTCCCCCCTCACACACACAACACAAACCCCTCACCCACCTGCAGCTCGGTCCCACTGTAGGATCATCACCACTACCCTGGATCGTCCAAGCTGACTCGTGAAGGGCTCTTGTTTGAATGGGAAGAAGGGCAGACAGGGACCCACAAGAAGGACAGTCATATGATACTTGGTTGCAGAAACCAGCCTGGATGGCGGAGACCTAGACGGCACTGAAGTGGGGTTCAGTCTGCTGCCTGTGTGCCTCCCTGCCTGGTTCCCTGAACCCTGCCTGGCATGGGGGATGGAACACACACACACACACACACACACACACACACACACACACACACACACCACCACAAGAGGCTAGATAACCCATCTTCCTCTGTCACCTTGCTGGGAAGTAGTAAACTCCCTGGTTCCTTAAGAGTTCCTTAAAAGACAGTTTTAGGCACTGACATCAGACCTTTTCTATCTTTATCTCTTTAAGTTCCAAGGGAGGTAACAACTCAGTTGCTGGAAGACATAGGAGGATGTGAACAATTTATCTGCTACTAGCTCAGAAATGTATTAATCTACACCCCTCCTCCCAGTACACTTTTAAATTCCCAAAGAAACGAATCTCTCCTATTCCCCGCACCTCCCAGCCTGACTCACCCGGAAGCCCTTGGAGTGCTCAGAGGGCAGAGAAATGAGGCATTACTGTAATTCTTGAAATGACCACTAGAGGGAGATGTGCCCCAGTCTTAGGGCGCATCTTGAGGCTCTGTGGGAAAGATGGGGTCTGACAAATCCAGTTAACTTGGAATCTAGACTGGATTCCCCAGTTCTCCCGAATGTCCATTTCTACCCACTTTCCATCGCTCACAGATTACTTGGGGGGAGGGGGCGGGGGTTTCTGGTCCTATTTTCATCCTATCTGAGATGGCGTTTGTCTCCATTCCTTGTCCCTGTGATGAGTCACAGCATGTCATCAGTTCCACTTTAGTCTGTGGTCCTCTACCTGCTGCCTTGTCCAGCCATGCTCCTCCCATAACTAGCCCACAGAGGGCCAGAGTCAGTGGTGAGCTGGGACCAGCTCATACTGGCTCACAGAGCCAATTGTTAAATGTTTAAAAAGAAATTCCAGAACTTCCTGGGTAAGGTGGTAGATTAGAAGCAGCATGTGTGTGCATAGATGAACACTAGATAAAAACCACAATAGATCTATTCATATATGAAAAGGAGCCAAAGAATGCAGAAAGAAGTCGAGATAGGAGTTTCTCCGAAAAGAAGGAGCCAAGTCGCTGGTAGCAGCCACAGCTCAGTTCCAGCAGGCCAGCTGCAAACAGAGGCTAGGTGGAAACCTCAAGAGCTATAGGGAGGGTCCAGACTCTGGAAACACAACCAGAGGCTGGATAAGGCATGCACAGATTGTGGCTGAAACTCAGAGACCAGAGGCTGAGACTAGGAGATAGTCACCAGAGAAGACAGTACCCTCCCCCACCTCTGCCTGGTGAGCTGCACTGCACTGCACTGTGAGAGCACTGTGGGACCTGGTACAGTGCCTGGTGAGCTGCACTGCACTGTGAGAGCACTGTGGGACCTGGTACAGTGCCTGGTGAGCTGCACTGCACTGCACTGTGAGAGCACTGTGGGACCTGGTACAGTGCCTGGTGAGCTGCACTGCACTGCACGGTGACAGCACTGTGGGACCTGGTGCAGTGCCTGGTGAGCTGCACTGCACTGCACTGTGAGAGCACCGTGGGACCTGGTGCAGTGCCTGGTGAGCTGCACTGCACTGCACTGTGAGAGCACTGTGGGACCTGGTACAGTGCCTGGTGAGCTGCACTGCACTGCACTGTGAGAGCACCGTGGGACCTGGTACAGTGCCTGGTGAGCTGCACTGCACTGCACTGTGAGAGCACTGTGGGACCTGGTGCAGTGCCTGGTGAGCTCCACTGCACTGCACTGTGAGAGCACCATGGGACCTGGTACAGTGCCTGGTGAGCTGCACTGCACTGTGAGACCTGGTGCAGTGCCTCAATGGCACACAAAGGAAGCTCATGTGTGCGGGCCTCACACACTCCAGAGCCTGCCACCCAAAGCCCAATCCTTAGAACACCAGAGGCAAGGTTGTAGCATGCAAGCAGCAGACCACAGAGCAGGGAATGCTGGCAGCGAGTGGACTTTAGCGGCTGAGCTCTTTCTCATTTGGAAGGACACACTGACTTAACTCGTTTGAATTACTGAGACTAGCATACCACCTCCCTATTTGTGGGGACCAATACACCTGCAGCCCTTTTTCTGCAGTGGTTTCTTTATTCCTCATGACTCAGGCCTGAGGCTTTCCTTCTCGTTCCTACCTTACTACCTGTTGCCTCCTTTCTCTCTCTCTTCCTCCATTTCACCAGTTACATGTGATACAGCACACTTTCCACAGCCAGTGCCTAGTAATGTATCAAAACCTCATCAGGAACACCCACAAAGTGCACAAAAATCTTCTGCAGGCCAACACCAGGACAGCTGTTAACTCATGTGTGTCGCTGATGTTGCCTCCTGCCTTAATAACAGCATGTGTAGCCGGCTCACCAGGAAGACTCGCATGGAAAACAAGCAAGCAAGAGGAGTAAGGGAAAATAAAATCTATAAAACACAACAAAGAAGCACAAAAACCATGAGACTAGAACCCGTGACAGTACCATTGTTAGCTCACAACTCCTCTGTCTTTAGATAATGAAATAGCTGAAATTTTAGAAGACCACCAGCCTAACACCCCCAACCCCCAACAAGCTCCCACTGCCCAAAGCAGTACAGAGATCAATTCAGGACTGAAACAAAAACAAAAAGTGATCAGTAACTTGGAGGAGAAATTCAAAACCATGGAGAAAAAGAATCCAGCAAGGAAACTGAAACACTGAAAAAGAACCAAACAGAAAATTTTAGGAGTGAAATAAGTGGTAAATCAAGTTTAAAACGACAGTGGAAGGGGGTGATGAGGTGGTTCAGTGAGCAGAGGTACTTATGTGCAGGTCTTACAACCCAGGTTCGATCCCCGGAACCCTTATGTGTGGGTCTTACAACCCAGGTTTGATCCCCGGAACCCCCCCCCACAAGGTGACAGGAGAGAACCAACTCCTACGAGTTGTTCTCTGACCTCCACACTTGCACTGTAAGTTTGGGTTAACATACACAAATCAATAAGTACAGTACACCACGCGAATAGACAAGGACAGAAATCATGCTGTCATCTCTGTAGGTACAGCAAAGGCATTTGACAAAGTTCAACATGCCTTCATAATAGAAGTCCTAAAGTAATTTAGAAGGAGCATACCTCAACATCATAAGCATTACATGTGGCAAACCTATAGTCAACAATAAACTAAGCAGGCAAAAACTGAGAGCATTTCTTCAAAATCGAGAACAAGATAAAGGTGTCTACTTTCTCCACTTTTATTCAGTATAGGGTTTCAAGTATTAGCCAGAGCAATAGGCAAGGGAAAGGAATAAAAACAAATACAAACAGAAAATAAAGAAGTCAAATTATTCTTATCTGCAGATGGCATGAATATGCTTCAAAGGCCTTAGAGTTTCTAACAGAAAATCCTTACATTTGAGGAATATTCACAGCAAAGTTTCATAACACAAAACCTACACGCAGAAATCAGTAGCTTTTCTATATACTAATAACAAATTTTCTGAGAAAAACCATTCACAATAGCTCCAAAATTTAAAATACCTAGACAAAAAGATATTAAACCTAGCCAATGAGATGACAGAATTCCACAATAAAAACTTTAAGACACTGAAAACAGAAATCATTGGCAGAATAAATATTGTGAGAATTGCTAAAATTACCAAAAAATAGTCTATGGTTTCAATGTCATTTCCATCAAAATTCCAGTGACATTCTTCACAGAACCAGAAAAAAAGTCTAAAATTCTTACACCCCAAATAGCTTAGAGGAATGTAGACAGAAAGAATAATGCTAGAATTATTTAATAGCTAACTTCAAATTATACTACAAGCCATAGTGATAAATACAGTCCAAAACAGACAGGTACACCAATGGAACAGAATAGAGTCCCTAACAACCTGCACAGCTATAGAACCCTAATTTTTGACGAAGGTATTAAAAACACACTGAAAAAAAGGCAGCTTCTTCAAAACAGTGCTCAGAAAATTGGCTGTCTACATACAG